AAGGCCCATTAATAATAATGACCCCCCTCCCTCGGCCCCCTGCTCTCCATCAATGCCCCTTGGGGGCTGGGGCTCCAGGGTGCCAGCAGGGGGATCCTGTGAAACGACTTTCACAGCTTGTCTTCCAGAAGCTTCTCCCATTCCCAGGAGTCAGGTGCTGTGACCCCAGACCCAGGGAGGGGGGCCCCACAGCCCGGGGTGCGGGAACCTGAACCCGGACATCCCCAAACCCATGCGGGTACATCAGAGCTTGGGGAGAAGGCTGCCCCGGGGCCCCGACAGCCTGGTGGGTGGACACACATTTCCTGGCGGCGGGGCGTGCAGGGCGGCCCCCTCCGCCCAGGCCCCGGCTGCTGTGGGGGGACCCCAGTCTCATCCTCCCCGGGCTGCCCTACGCCCAGTTCCTGATCCCACGGAGGCGCGGGGCTCACCGTGGCTTCACCCCAGGACCCGTGGGGCCTGCTGGGGCCTCGGTTTCCCCATCTGCACAGGGGAAGGTGTCTCCCGCACGGCCCGGTGCCCCCCCACCACAGACCGCACCATCCATTAGGGCCATCGACAGCCTCTGGGCCTCCATTTCCGGATCGATGGGGGCTGTCGGGGGGTGGGGGCGGCCCCCAGGGGGTCTCTCTCTCTAGCCTCAGAGGGAGGGGTCCCGCCCCAGACGCCGACGCTGCCCCGCGGTTCCTGGCTCCCGTAAGTGAGCCCAGACGTGTGAAGAGGATCAGGCGACAGTGCGGACAGAGGAGGCACAGAAGGGTCCAGCGGCCTCTGGATGCCCCCGGCTCAGCAGCCGCCACCAGCGTCCTCGCCCCCTCCCCGGCCTCCAGTCCCGCCCCAAAGCCCCCGTGGCTGCTCTGCCCACTCCCTTGCTTGGCCATCGGGCCCCCCCTCAGCCCCCTGCCCCCTCCATAAAGACAGGGGAGAGATCAAATTCAGTCTGGTCCTGCCACCTGCCCTGTGCTTGGTGTACGAGGCCCCTCCCTCCTGGTCCACATCCAGCCCCGGCCACTTAATTTCCAGCCTGAGTGTCATCTCACAGTGATTTATGGCTCCTCAGGGGCCCCAGGCCGTGAACGCGCTTTTTATTCATCCATCTGTGGCCGCCCGGCCACCTGCAACCTGAACTAGGGTCCCCAATGCTGTGGCCCCCTCCGTGGCCCATAAGTCCCCCAAATACGGGGCCCGGAGGCCACTGGGGCGAGCCCCACCATTCTCACCCTGACGCCAGCGACCGAGGGAGGGCCCAGCACTGACTGCACACAGTAGGCGCTCACTAAAGGCATGCTGGGGGCGCTGGCATTGACTCGGGAAACACAATTCTCATGGTATATTCTCTTTTCTGATCGTGCAGCTTCCGTGTAAATATATATACAACATGCATTCATTCAGTGAGCATTTATTGAGCGCCTACTGTGTACCAGGCACGTTCTAGGCACTGGCGACACAGCGGGGACCAAGACAGACAAAAGTCCCCACCCTCGGGGAGCTGACAGTGGGGAGGAGGAGACGGACAAGAAGCAAGATCAATATGGGGGGTGTCTGAGGGTGATGAATAAACGCCCCCCCAAACCAAGACGGCCAGGACTCTGAGGGGGGCCGAGAGGGGAGGCATGCTCCTCCCGAAGCAGCCATCAGGACCCCTCACTCCCGGACCCCCTGCCCGTTGGGCACCGAGGCGGCAGTAATGGGCCGTGGGAGGGAAATCACTTCCTCTGGAACCTGCGGCCTGGAGAGGCTGCGCGCGGGACCCGAATACCCATGGCCGCCCCCCCGGGGGGCAGCGAGCAGAGTCGGGGTCTCAGCTGAGCTGGGGCCATGGGGGCCCTGGCTGTGCACAGCACGGCCCCGGGAGTGAGCGGCCACGCCATGCGTTGATGGTGGTCCCCGAGGCAGTGACCGGTGGTTCCTGAGAGACCCGGGCCCCAGACGCCAGTGGATGGTACAGGGGTGAGCATGGCGCCTGCGGCTGCTCGGTCCCTCCGCACACTCGTGCACACGTGTCTGTTCGTGTGGCAGAGGAAAAGTCCCAGGGAAGACTCTCCACTGCGGGCCAGGCACCGAGTCCCAGTGATGACGAAACAGACCCGCCCCTGCCCTACAGGGATGCCCAGCCCGGGGGGCGGGGGGGAGACGGACAAGTTAAGAATCAGAGATTTGAGAGTGAGGGGCATGGGGTGAGCCGCCTCTCAGACAGGGAGGTCGAGAGGGGACATTTGACCTAATCTGAAGGAGCTGAGGGAGAGCCGAGCAGCGATCTGCAGGAAGGCAGGGAGGACAGCATGTGCAAAGGCCCTGAGGTGAGGACAAAGCTGGTTTTGCACTTACCCATCCATCCAGGTCACATGTGTGTTAAAACTTGGGGTCAAAAAAAATAAAATCCTCTTAATAGCTAGGTGGAAACAACCCAAACGTCCATCAACAGATAAATGCAAAAACACAGTGTGCTCCACCCACACACTGGAATATGATGCAGCCGTGAAGAGGAGTGAGGCCCTGACACAGCCACACCGTGGACGGACCCTGAACACATGACGCTCAGTGAGAGAACCAGACACAGAAGGACACATGGTGTGTGATCCCATTGATGTGAAATGTCCAGAACAGGCACATCCACAGACAGGAAGTGGGTTCGTGGTTGTCAGGGGCTGGGGGAGGAGGGTGGGGAGTCACTGCTGATGGGGATGGGGCTTCTTTTGGGGTGATGGGATGTTCTGGAACTAGATAGAGGTGGTGGTTGCACAACTCTGTGAATGTACTAAAAATTGTGGAATTGTACTTTAAACGGATGGACTGCGTGGGATATGAATTATATCTCAATAAAAAATATTTTTCATAACAAAATACAAGTCAGCTGCCAAAATTCCTCCCTGCGAGCCCTGCATTTAATTCCCCCTCCAGTTCCCGTGTCCCCGCGGCTGGGTTGGGCTGTCTGGACGTGGGGTCTTGGGGAGAGCAGACACGGGGAGGTCCCCTCCCTCTCTGAGCCCCGGGGTCCTCGCCGCAGCACGGGCACCCCTGGGTGGCCCTCCGTGGCTCACAGCCCAGTGTCTGCCGCCGTCCCCCGTGCAGGGCACACACAGGGGTCTTTGTGCACTCGGTGGCCTCATTGAGAGGCAGCCCCCGTCTCCGGGCCAGTGCGGCCGAATTAATTAGCTGCGAGCCTTCCTCTCACTAACTGTCCCGTGACGCTGCGGCCCAGCGGGTGGCACCAGGACGTCGGGCAGCGCCAGGACCCCAGTCCCTCGGCCCTGCCAGGCAGTCGCAGCCTCTCTGTCCTCCACCCGGGGCTAGGCCGGGTGGAGACCGGGACCTCGGAACCCAGCAACACATGCCTTTTGCAAAGCCAGAAGGGGATGAAGAGACGACAGACTGGCCCCCAGTTGGCCTGGGGCAGCTGGGGAAACTGAGTCACAGCAGTGGAGCTTGGTGACGGAGATGTCACAGAATTTGGTTGGCTCCTGAGAGACCCATCATGGAAACCGAGGACCCCCCAAACATGGAGGAGGGGACGGGGGGCCTCCACTGGCCCCGGGTTCAAGGATTCCAAGGTGCTCAGGTGAGTCGGGTGACGGACATCTATTCAGCCCCTGCTGTGTACTCAGAGCTGGCATCCGCCCACCTGCTCCAGGGGGTGGAGGCTTGTTTCCTTCGCCCAGGAGGGAAACTGAGGCACACGGAGGGTGAAGGATAGGGTGCCGCCTAAATGCTCATTCCAGGGCCCAGCCCCCAAATGATGTGCAGAACTGAAGACTTGACCATGATGGTCCCCGGACGGTCTCCCCACCCTCCCCGCGGATTCCAGACCCGACTCCCGTTGTTCCCCCCGAGACCCCAACAAAGAGCACGCCCCCGAGGTTTCCGCTCATTTTATTATAAAAAATACAGAATCCAAAGTCGAGTGTGATGGGAGGGGGGAGGCCCCGTGGCCCGCCCGCGCCGACCCCTACAAAAGCCCCCCCATTGGGCCCGGCCGTCTCCCGGAGGCCTCGCGCCATACATTTTTATATATAATATATATAAAACACAGAGCAGGAAAGGCGGGTAGAAATATGAAATTTGTACAAATGCGCTGTTTGCTTCATTTAAGTGTCGGGGGGGGTCTGTTTTGGGTGGCGGTCCCGCCCCCATCCTGTTTCGTCCTGTTTACTCTTTTCTTATAAACATCATCAGGTCGCAGAGTAGAGGGAGGGGCTCCGACAGACGAACGAGCTTATTGCGAAGTGCGGCTTCTATTCTAAAAAGTCCACCCCACCCCCCCCGCCAAAATAAAAGCCCCCCTACAAAGGAGAGAGAGAGAAAAAAAAAGGAAAATTTCCAGTCCGTCCTCAGGAATACAGTAAAAATAAATCACAGTATATACTTGCTGGCTCTATTTACAGAAATGTGACGTCTTCTCGGCCTCGGAGGCGAGCGGGCAAGGCTGGGGGGACCGGGTGGGGCCTACGCGGTGTCTGAGACGTGGGCACTGAGATTCTTCGGTGGGCTCGGGTGGCACGTCGTGGGATTCCACTCCAGGAGACGGTCACCAGGAATGAGGAGGGTGGGGGGTCTGAGGTGCCCGGACCAGATTCAGGGGGGACTCGCCCCTCCAGCCTCAGGCCGGGACACCTGGGGGGGTGCAGGGGGCTCCAGCCAGAACCCAACACATGGAGTACCAGACGAGGGGTCCCAGATCCCTGTCCCCCACGGGGCCAGGGACTCCTACCCTGCCATTCTGTTTCCTTCCCAAAGTCACCGGAGACAGCAAGGAATAAATTAAATAAAAACTCAAGTCTTTCTGATCCAACCATGAAAAACGCACCAAAAACAAAAAAAACCATCTCGGAGAAGTTCTCCAGGCCCCCGGACGCGGGGCTCGGCCAGGGGCTTCGGCGACTCCCGGCCCGTCGGGCATCGGGGGCCGGTCCTGGGGCGGGTGGCCGGGCCCGGGCGCGGCGGGCAGCACCAGTCGCGGGAGAGAGGCGAGGGCATTTGGTCTCGGAGGCGGCCGCGGGGCGGACTAGGAGCCCAGGAGGGTCCAGAGCACGGGCACGGTGCTGAGGAAGAGCCGGCAGCTGCCCAGGCCGCTGCACGAGTTGTTGCTGGTGAAGATGGGCTCCGGGGCCTCGTACAGGGTCTCGTCTGGGGGGACACGGAGACGCGTGGTCAGCGGGCGGCCCGGAACCCCCTCCCGAGGCGGCCGCTTCCTCGAGCCCGGCACGGCCTGCCCTCAGGATCGGCTGCCCCTCCCGGGCCCGGAGACTCCGTCCACCCTGGTGGGGCTGTGCCTCCAGCGCAGAGCGTGGTAAACAGCAGGCGCCCAACGCATGCACGCCTGGCGCCTGGGTGAAGGCGCGAGGCTGCGGGGCCCCCTCTCCTCTCGAGTGCGGCTGTGATGTTTCGAGGGCTCAGAACACGGTGCTCGGTCCATCTCTGTGCCCGCTCTCCGGGTGAGGGGGCGGTGGCCTCAGTAGGGGGGCCTGACCGGGGACTTGAACCTTCACCCTTGAAGGACTGAAATGTCAGCCCCCTTTGCAGATGGTGAAACCGAGGCTGGGGGGCAGGGCCTGCCCCAGCCATGGCGGAGGCTAGGGGACTCCTGAGGCTGTGCGGGGACCACCCTGTGACTCTACCGACCACTCAATGGGTCCTGAGGGCTGAAGACACAAGGGTGGGGTCCTGGACCCTGCCCCACCCCCTGAGCACTTACTGGTCGGCCGTACGTAAACCTTCAGCCGCAGGCAGGGCCGATCCACAGCATTGGGCGGCGTGGCAGCTGCCAGAGAGGGGCTGGGAGTTAGTGGGGTGGGGGCTCTTGGTGCCCGAGACCTCCTGGGGCTGTACCCTCTTCCCCACAGTAGTGACTCAACCCTGACCCCAGGTAGGGAACCACCGATAAAACTCCTAATCATACATCAAAGCCCCAGACACCATGCCCCCTGTTCCCCAGCAGTCCCCCTGCACATCTCTCCTGCCCCTCCCTCTGCCGAACCCTAACCCCAGAGACTGGGGTGTCTGTGTCCGGCTCCACTGCACCCCAGGGCAGCACAGGGCCAGGTTCAGAGGTGACGAACAAAAATACGTTTGTTTTCAATTGATGAGCAAAAAAATCAGTGTAACCCAGTGATTAAGCGGGAGTCAAATCCCCGCTCTCCGGGCGCCTGTCAGCAAGTCACTGCCTGTCTGGGCCTCATCCTGCGCACAGGAGGTGCTTCAGAAATGATGTCCAGCTGGGAGGTGACGGGAACCAGTTCCGGGGGGGGGGGCAGTCTTCCTGCGTCACCCACAGAGGGGCCCGCCCTGCCGGGGCTCACACACAGGCGGCAGACGTTCGGTCCTCGTGCCACCGTTACTGCTCCCCGCTTCTGGGCCACACGGCCAGCGCCCGGGGAGCGGGGGCACCACCGTGTCAGCGATGAGTCAGGAGGCCGGGGGCTCGGGGACAGGACGGCACGGGGAGGGAGGCCTGAGGCCTGGCGGGGCCAGCAGTTTCGCACCCCTGAACAGGCGTGGGCACCCACGCAGACCAGGCTGGCCCGTCCCCACCTGTCCCCTCGGCCTGTCCCCTCGGCGGCCGCCACCTCCGCTCGCCCCCTGAAGCCCCTCATGCTGGGAGATGAAGATAAAAAACACGTAATAAAAATAACATTCATCACAGAGATAGGACGAATAATTCCAATAATTATCTTTATGAAACTCCCATCTCGGAAAGAAAAATGTAATTTTTCTTACATTCCGGGGACTTAATTTAAACACCTTCCCCCCCCACCGCCTGCTTCTTCCCTGAATTAAATGGAAAAAATCCAAATGGGGCAGAGAAAGGAGGAAGGGGGGCTTCGAGTTTAATCTGACACAGCAGAGGGGACCTCCCTGCAGCCCCGGTGGGTAGACCCCGCTCCCTACCCGCCCCTAAGACGCTGAGAAAGGGGACCCCACAATCCTGTGGAGGCAGGATCCCAGACGGGCTCCCCGATGCCCCATCCTGGCGGGGCGATGCCCGACCCCGGATCCTGGCCCAGCTTCCGGAGCGGAAGGGGCCGCCGGGGACGCGGCGGAGCCGGACGCCGACCTGGCCTGACGCGGCTGCACCTGCCTTCCCCACCCTGCCCCGTCTGCACTTCATGGGGAGGAAATAGGGGCCCCCGGGACGCCCCAGCTGCACAGCTGGGGGGCAGCCACCCCCGGCCCCGTCCACCGTGGGGGCGTGGTGCCCGCGTGTCCCCAGGCTACCAAGCAACCTTGAGAAGCAGCCTCCACGGCCCTCGGGGAATTTCGGGGTGGGCGGGTGATGGGGAGGGCCCGGGAGACCCCTGCCCAGGCCAGCAGAGCTGGGCAGAACACGGGGTCTGCCCGCACCCCCTCCCAGGGCTCTGACCATGCTCCCCTCACGGCCAGAATCCATATGCCTCAGTTTCCCTCCCCAGTGCACTGGGAGTGGGCGCCCTGGTCTCAGCGTGGGACAAGCTGACCAGTGGGGCATCGGCTCCCACAGCCCAGAGGCCCAGTGGCCTGATCCAGGGACGGAGGTCACAGACAGGCAGCTGGGTGTGTGTGGGGGGTCTCAGCTGGCTCTGAGCCTCAGTTTCCCCGTCGGCAAAATGGGGACTCTGACAGCGGGGCCCGCGGGGCTCGCTGAGAGGACAAATAGACCATCCGAGAGCTTGACCCCTGGGGATAGAGGCCAGCGCTGGACGAGAGGCCGGCACCAGGCCCACGCCCCTCCTGGGTCTGGCCCCATCCCACGCTCCCCCCTCACGGATGCGGTGGCACCCGTGTCTCCCCCCGCTCACGGAGGCAGTGGCCCCGTGGCCCCACTCACAGATGTAGTAATACTCGTGGCCGGGGCGGAACTCGAAGCCGAGCGAGAAGGGCGTGAAGAGCTGGAACTTCTCGGAGAACTTGAGGGGTCCCCCGGGCGCCGCGGGCCGGTTGCACTCCCAGCGCTTGAAGCCGCGCTGCCGGTGGTCGCAGGAGGCGTGGCCCTCGCCGTTCACCATGTAGAGCACGTAGTGCTCCATGTGCTCGGCCGGCGGCAGCGGCGCCCCGTAGTGCGGGCAGTAGATGTCCAGGTAGTCGTTGATGCTCACCTCCACCGTGTAGCCCCCGCCGTCGTCCGCCGCGCCCGCGCGGAACC